TGGCTGCTGGCACTGCGAGGAGGAGCGCCACGCCCCGGCCCCAAGCAGGTGAAGGACGGCTCCTACGGCACTGAGTGTCCTGTCTCGTCCTGCTTTGAGCTGAGGAGCCCGGGGAGGGGCTCTGTGCCCCCTGCCTCCCCCTGTGTGCCCTCCCTCGTGTTGGTGTGACCTGCTCCAAAACCTTGTCCTGGTGTGTCTGCTCACACGGGTGGCAAGGTAACCCCCATCTCGGCACGGACTTGGGAGCCTGCTAGCAAGTTGCTTCTACCCAAGGCTGGACCTTCGAGGCAGGAGCAAACTCAGATGATACCTGCTAAGTGCCACCTCCAAGGGCAGCTCTTCACAGTAATTGAGTGCCCTGAGCTGGGCAGGTCTGCTGGACTGTTAAACAGAAATCACTCTCTCGCAGGTGACTGATCTCTCCTGGCCTGCTGGGAGGGGATGGGCATTTGTTTGTCAAGGCCCAGAACAACAGAGTGGAGTTTGCTTTTCAGATACAGCTGAGATGGGATCCAGAATGAGATCTGGAGAAACGTCCTCCATAAAGGGCCACTTTCCGTCTTCCACCTTCTTCTAAAATCTGAAATTATAAACCAGTGTTTGCGTCTAAGGGAGATGGGAGACAATGTGGTGAGAACCACAAGGCAGTGCCCCAGCAGGGCCGAGGTCTGGAGTTACCTTGGGCACCATGGGTGTGTCTGGGAGAAGTCTTTGTTTATCTTTGTTCTGCGTCTGGTGTTGGGTGTTGTGGCCTGTTCTAGATGTAGCATTCCAGAATCACCTTCCAGAGTGGCTGAACCTGGGATTCAGCCAAGGGGGGGACGATGATGCCTCCTGCTTCCTCCCCATGGAAAGTGGAGCAGCAGCTTTGTCCACATTCCTCACAGTATGCCCTCCTCCACAGAGCACTTGATGAATGGCCGGGTGGACTTCTCCTTCCCCGGCAGTGCCAGTGGCACCCTGACCAGGACAGCCAACACCAGCTACCACCAGCTGAGCTCCCACGTGCACCAGGAGCACAGGGTGATGGGCAGCTCCTCGCTGACCAGAGACTACTCCACAATGCTGATGGGGCACGGTGAGTACCACAGGGGTGGGACCTGCCCTTCCCTTCCATCCCTGTGATTGTCTTTGGACCTGCACCCTAAGGTCCTCGTGGGGTGAGGACTGTGCTCACAGCTAGGGTGGCCTGTCACCCACAAGTCCAGAAGGTCATGTCCCCACCACGGTGTCCTGGTGCTTTGCTAAGGCCTCTCTGCTTCCAGACCAGTTTGGAAAGGGGTCCCAGCCCTCACAGGCTGGGTGCTCAGGGAAGGGAGCTCCATCCTTATCCTCACACCATGAGGCACTCCAGGGACAGCACACATCTCTTCTCCTCACTCTGTTCAGCAGTGTGGTTGCCTTTCAGCTCCACGTGTGTCAATCAGCTGGTGCTGACAGAAGGTGGCTTAAAGATACTTCAGACCTGAGCCTTAAAAAGTCACCTGTGCAGGAGCCTGGGCTGAACCTGCTCTGAAATCTCCAATGGTGTTTTTCTCTTTCTTCTTGCACCACTTCTGTAGATTACCCAGGGACACTCCTCCCTCCCATCCGTGAAGATGCTGGGAGGACACTCCGGCCCCGGGACGTGGGTTTCAGGAGCAGGGCAAAGGTGAAGGGTTACTACCCCAGCATTGGCTGTCGGGACTCTATAATCATGACTGATGGGTCCACAGGGATGTGCAAGTTCATAGGTACAGCTTGTGCAGTGTTTCCTCCCAGCCACACATCCCATAACAGCCCAGCCACCGTCCGTCCATGAGCTGCTGCCATCCACTGCTCACCTAAACCTCCTCTCCATGGCTTGCTGTGTGCTGTGCTGATCTTCCTTCTGACCCAGCCTGCACATCCATCACATCACCTTTCCATTTGCAGGTGAATTGCAGGTTTCAGCCCAGCTGGACTGATTACCATTCACCACCACCGCTGCCATCGTGCTCTGATCACCTCATTGTCCCCATTCTCTTCATTCCTAACGAGCTTCTTGTTCTCAGTCTTACTCCACAGGCCTTTGGAGAGCTCTTGGGGAGAACGTGTGCTCCTTATGAGATGTCCCTCTGCAAGCTCCTTGTCAGGGAGGGCCTTCAGTCCTGAGAGGCTGCTGAGCTCTCTGTGAGCCTTGTGTCCCAGTGGGATGAGCTGAGGAGCACCCAGATGTGGTCCCAGGCCTCATGAACAGGGTCTGGAGGGCTGATCTAGCTGTAGATTAGGGCCAGTCTTAATTGACCTACACTGATGAAGTCTATGAAGCTTCTGGACAGGGTGCTTAGGGGTGAGGAAGGTCACAGCCAGCACCAGGCCCCTTCTCTGGGCTCTCTGCCACAGGGGCACATTGCTTACATTAGCTTGTCCCACCCAAGCTTGGCACCCTGAGGCTGTGGGACATCCCTGTGGCTGTGCAGAACCAGCCAGTTCCCCTCATGACAGGTCAGCTTGCAGAGATGACATCTCACCACATCCTCCCTGAACCATCAGGACCATCCCATGTCTGCCTGTGCCACCCCCTCCTCTCCCCCAGCCCCCTTAGTCCCCATCCCCAAAACTTCCAGCCTGATGTTCCCTTTGTGCCTCAGACTCCAGGAAGCCCCTGGGCATCCCTGACACCCCCACCCGCCTGGTGTTCTCTGCCCTGGGCCCCACGTCGCTCAAGGTGAGCTGGCAGGAGCCGCGCTGCGACAAGGAGGTGCAGGGCTACAGCGTGCAGTACCAGCTCCTCAGCGGAGGTCAGTGGCACCCACTGGGCTGGCTGGGACTGCTGGGTGCTGGGGAGGCTGCTCTGGGGCTTCTGCCTCTGCATGACCCTGCTCTGAGGCAGGGGGATGGCACCAGGTGATCTCCAGAGGTGCCTTCCATCCATTCTACCATTCTGGGATTCAGGGTCCTTGTCTAGCTGCCTGTTTTTGTGAGGAAATGTTGCAGCTACCTCATAGCTTTCGTTCCCTCTTTCTGCTAGAGGGGAGAGCAAGTCCTGGAGTTGCTTGTAAAATCATCTCTACTCCAAAAAAAAAACACCTTTTGGCTGATTCTCTCCATCAGCACAAACACCTCACATGAATTTTTTTTCAACATGTGGGACTTGGAAGAAGGATTGAAATGAAAATGTCTTATTTTTACATGAATCTCAGGACAGTATTAGTGAAAATATAATTATTTTGTCTGAAACTCCTTGAGCTTTCAAGAAGCTATTATTTGTCCCAAGCCTTTTTTGGAGAGACATCTCCTTCTGCACTACCCATTGTTGGTGGCAAGGTGTGATGGAGATGGTTGGGGAGGGACCCTGGATGGCTTTTGCAGGCAGTTTGTTTGAGACAGAGTTTAGGTGAAAGCTGCAGTTCTGTGTCTCTGACATGGTGTTGACATCTCTTCCCTGCGTGTCCCAGGAGACGTGCACAGGATCAGCATCCCCAACCCCAGCCAGAACTCGGTGGTGGTGGAGGACCTGCTGCCCAACCACTCCTACATCTTCAAGGTGAAGGCGCAGAGCGAGGAGGGCTGGGGCCCCGAGAGGGAGGGAGTCATCACCATCGAGTCCCAGGTGGACCCGCAGAGCCCGCTCAGCCCCGTGCCAGGTGAGCTGCTGGGACAGGAGGGTGGCACTGGTGGCTGTGCTGCTCTCTGCAGTGCTGGCCTGGATGTTTTATCTCCTCTTGACACATCCTTGTCGGGATCTTTAGCTGGTCACAGTGACCCTGAGAAGAGTTTGAAAGTCTCTTTTCCCAGCCTGGCACTTGAAGAAGGAGTCAGAGCTCTTCATTTCTCAATCTCAAGGCTGTTTATTGTTTCTTAGCTATAAAATTCTTTCTCCTGCCCTGCTGGGGTCCATCCAGCAGGACAGTTCCAGGCACTCTGCTGGCCCCAAGGGTGGTGTTATGTCTTTATACTAAAAACTACGTGTACAATATTTACAATTACTTTCCAATACCTATCACCTATGTTAGACAGTGAGCTTCTATTCTAAACCACTCTGTAAGTGCCAACGTCACAGCAGAAGATGGAGGCCAAGAAGAAGAAGGAGAAAGGCTGGACATGCCCAGTTTCCTTCATCTTGTCCCCTGAATCCCCATTCTAAAAACCCCAAAATCTACTTTTTCACCTTGTGATAACTTCACTATGATTCTACTTAATTTGTCATGGCTTGCAGATCTTCATCTAAGGCTGGTAACTTGCTCCACGGGTCTTAATCAAACCCACAGGGGCATTTTGGGCTCTGTGCCAGGGTCTCTGAGCCCCCTGGCAGGAGTCTTGGCTGCTCAGGACAGCCAGAGGGATGCCCTTGGTCTTGACACATCCTCACCTCTCCTTTCCTTCCTCTCAGTTTGGAACAGGACCTTCTTCCCCACACTCTCACTTCACACTCCTTGCCCAGGAAGCTGAGCTCTTGCAGCTCATTCCATAAATGCTCTGTGCAGATCCCTCCCAGGCTGCCTTTGCTGTGATTCTGACGTGTCTCCCGTGCCCTGGCAGGTACCCCCTTCACCCTGAGCACCCCCTGTGCCCCTGGACCCCTGGTTTTCACTGCCCTCAGCCCGGATTCTCTGCACCTCAGCTGGGAGAGGCCCCGCGAGCCCAACGGGCCCATCCTGGGCTACAGGATCACCTGTGAGATGCTGCATGGAGGAGGTACAGTGTCACCACAGCCCCCTTGTGCTGAGCACCAGACACCTCCAGCTAAGGCAGCAATCTGCTGCGTTTTGGCTGGGACCAGTAAAAGAGCTGTTTGCAGATAAAGTGGGGGCACGAGGCTGATTCCAGGCCTGGGAGATGGTGGCTCCTGCCACTTCATGCCATTGCATGGTCTGGGCTAACAAATGTGGTGGGAAGAGGAAGGACCTCAGGCAAAACCCCATGGAGGGTGTTGAGGCTCCCCAGTGCAGTGAAATGGAGTTGTTTTAACCCTCAGTAAAAGTGGGTGCAGGCCTGCAGCCTGTGGGTTGTAAGGCTCAGGGACAGCCGAGGCAGCAGAGGTGAGGAGTTATGTGTTTGGAGGGATCATTGCTCTGGTCTGTCTTCACCACTCTGTGTCTCTGGATCAGGGGAGCCCAGGACAATCTATGTCGAAGGAGACAACCTGGAAACCACCCTGACTGTGCCCCACCTGAGTGAGAATGTCCCATACAAGTTCAAAGTGCAAGCCAACACCACCCAAGGCTTCGGGCCTGAGAGAGAAGGCCTCATCACCATCGAATCTCAGGACAGAGGTACAGTGCCCTTGTCTTTGTGGAGTGCAAAGAGAAACCTCTCAGAGCAGGGAGCACAACTCCTGCAGTCACTTTCCAGCTCTGGTGGTGACTCCATGCTCCATGAAAGACATGGAGACAGTTTTCCATGAGGGCAGTGCTGTGCCTGGTGAGCACTGACCCAGTCCTGGTGCATCAAATGAGGGAGCACCTGCCCGTGTTTAACTTGTGGTGAAACTTCTGCCTGTTTGTACAAATACCTGGAGGCAGCTTCTTACTGCCCAGTGTGAGACCTTCCCAGTCCTCCCAGTTCCTCCTGACCCTGGCTCTGATATCAGCAAGGGAAGATTCCTGAGCTGGCTGGTGCTCACTGGGCAGTGCTGAGGAGTTGGAAGCCTTTTGTTATTTCTTGATAGACTTGTCCTTTTCCTTCTCCCCAGGTGCTTTCTCCCAGTTTGGAGGACAGCAGTACATGAGAGAAGTTTACAAATTCCCCACTGACTACACCACCAAAACCAGCATCAGCCATTCCTCTCTGGATCCCCACTTCACAGGTAGGGGCTCATTGTTACTTTTCAACCCTCAGAAAACAAAGGGTATTTCTGCTTGTCCAAAGGTCTGAGGCTGCTTTTATCAGGTGGGATTGAAGAGGGTCAGCTCTTTTCCTCCCCTGTGTCCCTGCTTTGCCCCAGGGAGAGCTGCAGCCATTTCCACACGTGCTGCCCAGTCCTGGAGGAAATGCTGTATTTGAGAGTCCTCCAGCACTATCACTAGGGACCAAATCAGAGCTCTTCCTGCAAGGTTCAATCTCTTCAGAGCAGACAGAAACAGAGAAGTGGGACAAACATCTTTATTCACATCAATGTAGTTGTCCCATGTTATCCCACTTGAGCTCATGGGTTCATGCTGAAACATGGAGAGTTTGGGAGCTGTCAGGAGATCCAAACCCTTGGCTGACATAGCAAAGCACTGGGTCCCTTGGTGTAGTTGTGTTTGCAGAGGTCCCAGGATGAGGGAAGAAATGAGAATCTTGACTCCGTGTTTCAGAAAGCTGATTTATTATTTTATGATGTATAGTATGTTAAAAGTATATATTAAAACTATACTAAAAGAATAGAAGAAAGGATTTCTTCAGAAGGCTAGCAAGGAATAGAAAGGAATGATTATAAAATCTTGTGACTGACCAGAGTCTGAGCCAGCTGACTGTGATTGGCCATTAATTAAAAACAACCACATGAGACCAATCACAGATGCACCTGTTGCATTCCACAGCAGCAGATAATCATTGTTTACATTTCGTTTCTGAGGCCTCTCAGCTTCTCAGGAGAAAATATCCTAATGAAAGGATTTTTCATAAAATATCTGTGACAACCTGGTGGGGAGAGGTCCCTAAATACCATTTCCTGTGATGGAAAACTCGTGCCTGGAGTTGTGGGGCAGAGCAGACCCTGTTCCCTGTGACTCCACCAGTGGTGCCTTCCCTTGCAGACGGGATGCTGGTGACCACGCAGCACGTGGAGAGCTCCAGCAGCACCGTGACCCAGGAGTTTGTGAGCCACACGGTGCTGGCCAGCGGGACCCTGAGCCAGCAGCTGGAGAGGCAGTTCTACGAGGCCTGAGCCAGGGCAGGCCCAGCACCAGCAGCACTTCTGGGATCAGTGCCAGGATTTATGGAACAACCCAAAGGGGCTTCACCCAGGGGGTGCCTGGGCAGCTCCTCCTGTGGGCACAGACCCTCTGAGGCACTCCAAGCACTTCTCCTCTGGAGCCCAGCACACTCAGAGCTCTGGCACAGCTGGGTGTGCAAGCTCATCTTCCAGGGCAGAAACTGGGGTGTCTCCATGGCTTCACCCTCCCCAGGTAAATGGAACGGAATGATTTTATTGTCAGGTCCATGGTTTTGAGAGGATCTCATGTGTCAAAACCATGATTTGTAGAGGGTCACCATTTCCATTTTTGCTCCAGGCTCTCTGGTGACTCACCTGTCCACTGGAGTTGTTTTGTTCAGTATGGGGGTTTTTATGAGACTGCAAGGTAGGGTTTTGGGGTAACCTGTGCTTTCTTATTGCACCTATTTGTGTCTGTCCTTTGCTGCTGACATTTGGTACCACAAGAGCAAAGACTAACCTTTCATTTGTGTTGCATTACTTCAAGGCCTCAGATGCTTTTTTTTTTTTTTTTTGCATACAACACTGTACAGTTTTCATAGTATATATATATAAATATATATAAATGTATTTTATTATTTTATAAAAAAAAATGGAGGTGGATGAGATCTATGCTGAATGTGGAAGCTACACTGGAACTGTGGCTGCTGGGAAACATGAATAACAGGAAGAAATGAGCCAAGGGCTTGATCCAAAGGCCACTTTAACCCTGTGATGAGGCTGGTGGGCTCTGCCTTGGACCCTTCAGCCCCAGAGGCTCCAGCAGGAGGCATCAAGGGCCCAGATCCACCCACTGCAGAACATCTCCCAGCTGGAGCACTTGGGCACAGAAGGGCTGGGAGTTTCCCAGAGGTGAGGGATGGGAACTGTGCTGGGATTCCTCACACAGCTGATGTGGACAGAGTGAGATTTCAGGGCAGAAGATGTTGGGTACCTTTTAAAAGACTTTTTGCCCAGCAGCAAGATCCATAAAGGGACCTGTGCTCCATCAGTAAACACAAAGGAAGAGCAGGCCTGGAACAACAGGCACTCCCACTGTCCTGAACAAGTCTGAGACTCCTTTCTTCAGCCTCAGCTCCCCTCACACAGGGCTGAGCTGAGCTGAGACCCTGCTGGCTTTGATGTCCCAGTGCTGGGCAGGATCCCTGGAGGCTCCCTGCCCTCTGCCAGGGACAACAAGCAGTGCAGCTTTTCCTGCAGTGTTCCAGCTGCATGGGAGCAGGTGAGGAGCCTGCCTGGAGCAGCAGCTGCCACTCTCTGGCTTAGAGCTTCCAGCCAAGGCAGCAGCTGCCTGGGCCCCTGGCAGCATCACCAGCCTGCTTTGATCTCACAATGAACCTTGGCTTTTTTGGTGGTTTTCTCTTTCTATTTCCTTTTTTCTTTTGGACTCTGAAGAAGAGCTCACCACCAACAGCTCCTTCTCCTCTTCAGGCTTTTTATTTTACTGGGGGAAGGGCTGAACACCTTTCAGCCAAAGATGGATGTGGGTGAATCAAGTCCACAGGAATCTCCATGACTGCAGGTGGGGCTGGGTCAGTTTTGAACTTGGCTCAGCTTCACCAACCTGAGGTTTTACTGTGCCTTCAAGAAGCATCATTTCTCCTGAGCAAGTGCCAGGGGCATGAGGCTGCCTCCCTCCCTGCTCCCTTCGTGCCTGGGGTTGGGATTTTGTCTCCTCCTGCTCAAGGACTCTGTGACCCTTTGGGATTTGCGCCCCAGGGTCAGACACTGAGAACTGCCTAAACAGGGACTTTCCCAAGCATTTTAACCAAAGATGATCCTGTTCTCCAAGAGCAGAGCCTGGCCCATCAGCTGCTCTCCAGGGGATCAGGCCTTCCCCATGCACATGCACTAACCCAGGCCTGTCTTTTTTAATTTATCTGCTTGTTGGAATTGGTGCTGTTTCAGCCTTTCCAAGATGGATCCAGAGCAGGTCTTTGATCAGATGGCTTCCTCTTGCACTCAATAAATATTTTCTCTATATTCTGCCTCTTTACTGTTGATTTTTTTTTTTAAGTAAAATAAAAAAATCTCTCCCTCCATCTGCAGCAGATGCAGGGCAGGGGCCAGAGGGAGATTCCCAAGCAGGAACTTCTGCCAGGTGTCAGTGCCTGCAGCTCCTGCACTGCCATCCCCTCCTGTGACTGCAGCTCTGCTAATGGCTCCTTGCACCAGTGCAAACTGGAGTTAAACCAGTATCCTCTGAGGAACACTCCCGAGTGCTTTTGGCCCACACAGGCACAGAACAACTATGCAAATGCTTTACTTTTATTAGGTAAATGAGGCAGATGGACAAACTGATCCCCTTGGGAAAGTCTTGGGGAGGGAGGGAATGCCAGCCCAAGGTTCCCAGGGGAGGTGGTCACTCCTCTACATGGACAGAGCCTTTGCCCCTGCCGAGGGCTTGCTGAGGTAGAAGGTGGCTTTGCCACTGTATTTCTCCTGAAAAACAAGAGGAGCAGTTGAGGCTGGGGGAAAAGGCCATGCTGGCCAGTTCCACACTCACTCTACCTCCACTCTTCACTGAACTGCAACTCCTGGTCATGTTTCCTCTCTCCCACCTCTGCCCCTTCTTTCCCCTTCCCCCAGCCATTTATAGAGTGCACCATGATCTCATAGAGCAGTAAAATGATGTTCTGCCTTGTCCACAGGCCCCATATCCTGGCACCCCCATTCTGCTGGAATTTCCAGCTACCTGAGCATGCCAAGGTGCTGAGTTAGGGAACACTGGTGATGGCACTGAGCTCTTTCCCAGGCTATAACTGCCAGTGTTCAGCTCAGGAGTACCCAAGCTCAGCTCAGATCACTTTTCTGTGGATGGATTTGGCCATCCTGAAGCTCCCCCAGCACTTTTTCACTCCCTTTCTCAATGCAACAAAGTCCTGGGGCAGGGCTCTGTGACTGGCACGGTACTGAAGTGCCTGCAGGAGCTCAGTGGCATCAACAGGCTCAGGGCCATGGATGGGCTCCAGCAACCCCAATGGCTCAGGAGTGACAGTTCAACAATGTCCCTGTGCTGTGCCCCTGAGAGGTCCCTTGGGATCTTTCAGTCTCCTGGGACTTTTCTACCACTTACCTGGATGTGCTTCTTGGCTTTGTCTGCAGCCTCAGCCTTCAGCAGTGTCACCGTGCAGCCTCCAAAGCCTCCCCCGGTCATCCTGCTGCCATAAACCCCATCCACTTCCAGGGCTGCTGCCACCAGCTGGTCCAGCTCGGGGCAGCTCACTTCATAGTCATCCCTGGAGAGAGGAGAGCCATGCTCTGCCCTGTCCCACACACTGGGCACAACCACTGACAGCCCCAGCTTGTGCAGCCACTGCCACAGCAGCGCTGTTGGGTGCTGCAGACCCTGGCCCGGCTGTCAGCATCCTCGGGCACCCTCACCTGAGGGAGTTGTGGCTCTCCACCATCAGCTTCCCGAAGGTGGTGTAGTCCTTGTCCCGCAGTGCCTGCGCTGCCTCCTCTGTCCGCGCTATCTCGCCGATGACGTGCCTGGCCCGCCGGAACACCTCATCCCCCAGGCGGCTCCTGGCCTCTGCAGGGACATTTGTGTTCCTGCAGCAAAGCCTCACAGCCTGCAGGATGCTGCATCCTGCATCCATCCTGTGCCAAAGCTTCCCTGCCTGCAGCACATCCCATCACAGGGTGTGCGCCCACCCGCCTGCCCCAGGTCTCAGCCCCCGGGGCACCAAGCTCTTGTGTTGTGGTGAGATGGTGAGCCTGTTTCAGCTATCCCAGTTCCTTCCCCAGGTGTGCCAACAACCTCTCCCTTCCCCTCCCTTGCGCCCTTGCTGAGAGCTGTCCATCAATCTTGGCATTCCAGCAAGGGCATCAAATTGAATATTGTGTATTTCTTCAGGGGAGATTTGTGGGAAGTGTAGAAAAAGCCATCTTATAAACGGTTTCAATTTACCTTTAGAGAACTTCACATTACCACTGACTAAAATACTAACAATATGATAATACAGTCCTTTTTGTACTGTGCTAAGCTTCGAACCCATGTTAGATGTAAAAGGCAAAGTACAAAATCCCACCTGACCAAAAACAAAGCCAAAATCAGCTACCGATTTATAAAAAAACCACAGATAGGATGTGATTGACAGAGTTCAAAAGCTGCCTCTCAGCCCTGGGGACATTGGGCCATCCAGGTGTCACTTATCCCCTGAGACTTCCCCCCCCTTACCTGGTTGGTGGCTCCCTACCCCTTCCCTGCCCCTCTCCCTGGGGTTAAAGGAACAGCAACCACGGGAGTTCTGTTGGAGCTGGTGCTGCATTCAGAGGCCTGTGGGCCAGAATAAAGCTCTGGATCCAAACCCTCCATCAGAACCGACTCCTTTTTCTTCACCTTGCCTAAAGCCTTTCTGCCAGAGGTAAACCTGAGCTCCTGCACACCTGGACTTGTCCCAAGTGCCAGCTGCAGCACACAGCCGGCCAAAGGTGTCTCTGAGGTGAAACCACCACAGCTGCCGCCTCTGGTCAAGCAGCAAGGCCCAGACGAGCCCAGGCACATTCCACCCAGCAATATTGCTATTTAATTCCAATACTCCTGATGCCCCAGGGAGTGACCAGAGGTGAGGGGAGGGCTGTCCCCACCTTCCAGCTCGGCCATGGTGGCATCTCTGAGGCTGGCCTTGCCCAGGGCCGCCGCTGCCTCCTCGCACTGCCGCCGGCGCGTGGGGTACTCGCTGCCCGTCAGCGTGTGCCGCACGTTGGAGTTGGTGATGAGCACGGCCAGGCTGGGGTCTTTCAGTGGCACCAGCTTGGTCTCCAGGGACCTGCAGGGACAGCTCAGCCGTGTGCCCGCCCCCTGCCCGCCCCGGCTTGCACACACCTGAGTCAGGTGAGGCCACGTGGCAGGCAGAGCCTGAGCTACAGAGGCAAAGTCCAGCAGGTTTGGGATTCCACTCCAGCACTGCACTCCCCCCAAATATTAGTGCCATAACAGACCCTAAGGACCGTGGGAAACACAACCCAGGCAAGGAGCAGAAAGGTTGCATCAGGAGGAATCAAGACCAGGAGGAATAAAAGCGCAGGCTGCCCCACGTCCATGAGGACGTTCTGGGCTGGGTTCAAGGGTTAACCTCTCCCTGCACTCCTGCCCTCGGTTCATGGCCACAGGGCCAGCTCAGCCTCAGCTGCTCAAGGAGGCGAGCACAGCACAGTAAGCACAGCCCTGATCCTGACCTGCAGTCGATGAGCAGGGCGTGGCCCTCCTGGCCCATCACGGAGATGAACTGGTCCATGATCCCACAGGGCATCCCGGCAAACGTGTGCTCCGCCTTCTGGCACGCCAGCGCCTTGGCTGACAAATCCCCATCGTCTGTGCCACAGCAGAGACACACAGGTTAGCAGCTCCTGCAACTTTGTCCCTTGCCTGGGGGCAGGGGAAGCAAACATGGAGGTAAAAGGTTGTTTTGCCAAGGAATGAGGTTTTACAGCTGCAGGTGCTGGCTCCTGCACCCCTGCATGGCCTCTACGCCAGCCTGGACCTCAGATCCAGCTGGATAACTGACACTGGTATTTCAGGTATCGTGATTTTTGGGGCCATTAGAGTGGGGAGAGGATGCTCCTGAGGGAACTTCCTCTCATGCCCCTGGCCGTGGATTTTAGAGGTCTGGGCAGGTGAGGCTGGATGACCAGAGGAGCCACACAGGCAGGGCAGTGCCAGCTGAGGAGTTGTTACCTGTTCACAGCAGCATTTTCCCAAGGGCTGTGGGATCCAGCTAAGGGCACCTCCCTCACCCCAGCTCCCCTGGAAGCAGATGCAGGGCCCAGGACAGGCTGCTGCCTTACCAGGGCAGAGCTGCTGCAGGAAGGTGTAGGTGGCCACCTCCAGAGAAGCCGAGCTGGAGAGGCCCCCGCCCAGGGGGACGTCACTGGCCACGACAGCGCTGAAGCCTGGCATGGAACCACCTGCAGGAACAGAAGAGAAGGGAGGAGGGGGGCCATGAGCCCCTGCAGGGCTCTGTGCGCCCCACAGCTCGCTGGCAATGGCACAAGGAGCCTCTGTGCAACATTCAGAACACAGGGTGACCCACAGCAGAGTGTGATCCTGCAGCCAGCCCCCCAAGCACAGGAATCTTTGGAGCTGAGATTGAGTTTGCTGAAGCCTGGTCCTGGCAGAGCTGCAGGATTACACAGACACCAGAAGAGCCTCAAAGCTGATGTGAACAGCAGCTCCCTGCAAGGGGGCTCTGACCCAGCCCTCAGCCCGGCCTTACCCCGGTAGTGCTGGATGACGCCCTTGACGTAGTTGGCCCATTGGGGCTGCCCCGGGCTCAGGGGGCTGCTGG